TTTAAGGAGTTTCAAGCCCACTACAACAAATATTTTCACCGGTCCAGCTGTTGCTCCTCAGTATACACGCAAGTGTACGTGGTCGCTCAAGTAATATAGTTTCTTTTAAAAATGAGTTTTCGTTCCCAATGGACTTATGATCGACTTATATTTAGTACTTAACTCTTCAATAAAACAAAAGTAACCTTTTAAAAAAAGTTTGATGATTATTAACTACTACTACTACTACTACGAATTATGCAATAACTAAAAGTAACTAGTGCGAACAACTTGAAATTGATGTTTCAAGCAAGTAAAAGACAATTCCAGCGCGGCAGCATGCAATGGATTTCATGTATTGTATTTCAGGCAATGAACTAATTTCGGTTATCAAGTTACTGATTTACAGGGTTAATTGTATGAGTTGGGTCTCTCAACCTCTAGTCGCCTACTCCAATTAGCTATCTAACTACATCTTGAGCGGGGATAATAGGGCCTAACTGGTGAGCATTTATATTTCATCATGTTTCGTAACCAAGCAAGTTGTTCGTCCGGGCGTAACTCCTGAACACACATCCTCTCAATGGAAGATCGAGCTTTCTATATTCTCTGGCCTATCTACTCTCTCCTCTCTCGATTTTAAGAATAGACAATATGTTTATCTCTAGATGGCCAGTCAAGAAATACTAAAACAAGAATATAAAAGTAACTTAAACGATAACCAAGAATTAATTCAAAAACTTCTAATATTCAACATTCAATCCGTAACTACATCCCCAGAATTAGGGCGTTTAGCCACTCATAATATTCGAAAACCACAAAATGTAATTGTTCATACGATTTCCTGAAATGAGAAGAGATAAAAAATCAAAACCTATTACAAACATTGAACTTGCTCTTGCACACCAAAATAATGTCAAACTCCCTACAAATTAGCCTTAGGGGTCTATTTATAGAAGTTGGGAAAACTAGAGTCAAAGTCTAATTCAACAAGGAATCCTTTTAAATCAGTTTTTGCTGGAAATTTCAGAACAAGGATGGGGTGTTGCGCCTCCCATCGCGCTAAGCAGGCGCTTCTGAGGTTTCCGTTGTGGCGCGCCGTGCCAGGTAGTGTGCCTGGCATGTGCGGCTGTCGTTAGGGCCTTGGCGCCAAGGAGGATGCTATGTAATATTGGTCTTGGTGCTCCGGCCAGCCAGTACGCCATGCCTTGGTGGTTCTATCCTTTAGTTTATTTTTGCGCTTTCTTACTTCTCCTTTCTTCGATTTGACTCCAATTTCCTCGAGAGTTCCTGAAACAACTAATCATGTGTTTTAGTGCACAATCATCACAAGTTACACAAAATCAAGCGAATAGACTCAAGATATCTTTAAGTCAATCCCATAATGGGCAAATATCGACGACTTTGGCATATAAATATGCCTAAGATCACCACCCCACACTTAAACCTTTGTTTGTCCTCGAACAATCTTTAGACTATCAACTCTTTTTCATAACCCTTGGACTTATCAACCCACCTTAAAATCAACCAACCACATTTAATCATGATTTTGTAGTTCACATTGGATGCAAAATTTCAACAACTTTACTATATCATTGTGATACACCAAGTTACAACACACATGCTTAAATAATGACTCATGTATTATTTTTTTTCCCGGGCTAATGCAAACTCATACAAACACACTAATTAGACAAATCTGAACATGTGCCATGATTGCCCTCACTCATTTGTGTTTAGTATAGCCTTTCACTCAGGCAATCATATTATCAACAAGGCCTATTTTTCAAACATTGTACTCACTCTCACAAATGAAGTTCTTACTTCTCTTAACATGCCATAAGCTTGCCCATAGTGTATTTTTACTTTCACATCATATTTCTCAAGGAATCAAGAGGACTTCTATTTGGATGTAATGTCGTCTTAGGGTAAGGAAGGGAATATTTTGGATATTTTTAGTGACTACACCTCCCTAATGCACATGTATTTGTTCCACCGAATCCACATCTTTCACTACATTTTATTTTCTTCTAAGTACACACTTCATGAATGTTATCCCTCTTCAATTTCAAGCTCTGCCCCGTATGCTCCTTATTATTATCATCTTTTTTTTTTGTTATATATATATGTCTTTACACTAGCCACCCTCAATTTAGGTGCACAATATCCTTGGTAGGGCCAAGGCTAATGTTTTAAGCATACTTATGAAATAGCCACCCTCAGCTTAGTTGAGGTGCACATTATCCACTAGGGACCAAGGCCACAACAAAGTTTTTTTTTTCTACACTTTTATTTTCCACACATCATAGCATTTCCACTATTTTTTCCACTTACACGAACATTTTCAACCTTTATTCTCAACATAGTGCATCAAGGATTTCATTGGGATCAAATACTTTGGTATCAATAGAAAGGGTTTCGGCTTATTCATGTGCTTTAAAAAAATAAAGCTAAGGCTCAATGGGGCTTGACTAGGATCTTTTCATTGGTACACATAGATTAGAGTAAAAAAATAGCTTTTTCAAAGAAATGCCTCAATCCTCTTCCCTAAGTCATACAAGTTACTCATTCCACACACAGGGCAAGTTCTACATATCAATTAAAGCAAGAACCAAACAATCACTCACCACACATGGCATCACGACACACATACAAACATATCATACTAGCATGCTCATACAACTTGCATTACGGTATTACTACTTAATTAAGTCCACTTAGATTCATTCAGAGTCAAAACAACGAACACATGTTTTTTTCAAGGTTACCATTCTTTTGCATTTTCCAATTGTGACTACCCATGACGTCTGACTAACTTTTTCAGACATAGTTTCAAAATACCAAGGTTGGTTTCTCAATTCTACTCCTCTACGTGACTAATTTTCCCTTAAGACGGTCGTCAGCCATCCATTATCGGGAACTGTTACTCCTAAGATGACTCTAAGACTCAATAAAACAATAAAACTAATCCTAATCGGTTCAAAGGGCTATCCTCAGGAAAAGTACAGAAAACAAAAGCTGAGTAACCCAAAATAAAATAACATAAAAAATAAAGTAGGACTCGATAAAGCATTAAATTTTTATACACAAGAGAGTTATCTCCCACCCCACACTTAAAAATTAGCATTGTCTTGCGCACAATTAAAAACAAAGTATATAATTAGAGATACTCCCTCAGGCCTTTAGGCCTCGTCGTCATCATCACGAAACACCATCAAAGCGTTGGCATCCTCATCAACAACATCCTCCTCCTCCTCATCATCCATTTCTTCGTCCGCGGTGGCCTCATCATCATCTAGAGGCTCCTGAAATGCCAGACCAATCCTACAAATGTAGGCTACACTCTCCGTCGACGGGTAGCGCTCCGCCAAGGGTTTCATCTCATCATCAGTGACCGGGTGACCCTGATCTACAGCTGCAACTCCACCATACCAAACATGCGAGCCATTACACTATCATCTCTTGCCTACCGCTCCTGAGCTGATAACATTGGTCTATGGGACGTGTCAAACGCCTTAGTTCGAGTGACATCTACCATATTTCAAATCAAGTAGGGGGCCCTAGCAATATTCATATCTAACTTCACCTCCTCAATACCCCCAGCCCTCAGAAACCGGGTGATCAACCCCCCATAAAAAATGGCCACCTCATGTTATTCCTAAACTTCATCATGTTTTGCCTTAACACTGCCCCAACATTAACGAGCATACCCTTCATCAACATATAAACTAACACCACCCTATCTTTCGTCACATCTGAAAAGTGCTTAGCCGGTAAAAATACATTACACACAATTTTCAGCCAAACTCTCGCGACTTGGTTAAAATTTGCATAGTGGAGAGTGGAATGCCTCCCGGTGTCCTTACTCCTGTACCACCTAGTAGTGGACTCTACCCCACACAACGTATGATGGATATCTCTATAGGGGGGTCCTTAAGCCTATTATAATCTTTACCTTCACGGTTAGGGGTACCCAAAAACAAATTCAATGCCTTAGAAGTAAAGCGTACATCCTTTCCCCGAATTGGAACAATTTTATTGAACCTAGTTTTCGTGTTCCAATTTGCATAGAATTCCCTAACTAAAGTCAAATTGCAATCACCCTGTTCCTCAAACATAAACCGCAGCCGAAGAGCAATCACAATATTATAAATTAAGGGAAATAGAGATTGCAAATCATTCACAAACTCGTCCCCAAGGTATTTGGCCTCCTTTTGGCTCTCAAGCCATCATGCCCATACCGCTCCACAACTTTCTTACCGAATTTTTGGAACAGAACCTGGCTACTTGAAGATTCTGCACCCTTTCCCCTTCAATTACGCTAAGAACCTGCCTCTCCTTCCACATTCTTGCTTTTGGGTGCCATTAGTATCAATTTAGAAGAAAAAAGTGAAAAAAAAATTTGAAGAAAAAAAGTGGGGGTGGGGGGGGGGGGGGAGTCGGCTGGCAGTGTGAGTGGAAGGGGTTGAGTCGGGTCAACACCTGGAAAAAAATTTAGCCTATTTTTCTGGGCGTTGGTGAGATACTGGTGCGGTACGCCGCCAGTGCGCCATGTTAGCGCATCTGAAGTTCGCACTCTTGCGCGGCGCGCCTGCCTGTGCTCTATGGTTTACCTCCTAGTGCGGTACGCCAATCAATACGCCACCTTGGGATTTTTTTAAAAAAAAAATTCACTAGTACAAAGTAAGTTACAAATAATGAAAATCCTATCTATCTAATAAGTAAAACTAACGAAATTTACTAGGTCCTAATAAATTAAACTATGCTAAAAATTTCAAAATTTAAAACAAGCTACCTATCTATTACATATTGTTCACGGGTTGCTTCCCGTGGAACACTTGGTTTAACATCGTGGCTCGACTCAACTTGGATAATTCGTTATTCAGCTCAAGAGCCTCCGATCACGATCCGCATCTTCACCAAAGTAGTGCTTAACTCTATTCCCGTTCACCAAGTACATTAGGCTATGTTCACCTTTAACTTCAACGATCATCCTTACCACTTCAAAGGGACCACTCCATTTAGACCTTAGTTTTTTTGGGGAATAACCTTAGTCTTGAGTTAAAAAATAGTTCATTTTCTCTCGGAGTGTAAGTGCGAGGAACTATATGCTTGTCATGCCACCTTTTCGTCCTTTCTTTGTAGAGCTTGGCATTCTCATACGCATGAAGTCTAAACTCCTCAAGTTCATGTAACTGATCTAGTCTCTTTCTATCGGCCAGCTCGGGGTCAAGATTTAACTTCTTTATCACCCAATAAGCTCGGGGTTCTAATTCTGTCGGAAGATGACATGATTTACCAAACACTATATGATAGGGTGAAGTCCATATGGGCATCTTATATGCAATCTTATACGCCCACAGTGCATCATCCGGCTTCTCAGACCAATCCTTTATTTGTGCATTCACTGTTTTCTGCAAGATTTGCTTCACCTCTCTATTAGATACTTCTTCTTGCCCACTTGTTTGAGGATGGTAAGTTGTAGCAACCTTATGACGTATACCATACTTAGCAAGAAGATTTTTCTCTAGATGGTTAATGAAATACTTACCACCATCACTTATGATTGCCCTGAGAGTGCCAAAACGAGTGAAAATATGCTTCTTGATGAATTTTATCATGACTCTTGAATCATTCGAGGGAAGAGCTATAGCCTCAACCCATTTGGACACATAATCAACAGCCACTAGAATATATTGGTTTCCATTGGATGATGGGAAGGGACCCATGAAGTCAAATACCCCACACATAAAAAATTTCCACCTCAAGATTGTTACTTAGTGGAATCTCATGTCTTCTCGATATAGTACCCAACCTTTGGCATTTGTCACATCCCTTAATATAAGCAATAGAATCTTTAAATAACGAAAGCCAAAAAAAACTAGATTGTAGTACCTTATGCGTCGTGCGCTCTCCTCTATGGTGACCTCCATATGGGCTAGCATGACAACTTTCGAGCACTTTCATTACCTCATACTCCAAAATGCATCTTCTCACCACCCTATCCACTCCTTGCTTGAATAAGAACATTTCATCTCAGATATAGAACTTAGCATCATGAGTTAGCTTTTTCTTTACTTGGGTGGTTGCATTCGGAGGGTACTCTCCACTTATTATCAGATTCACTATGTCCGCATATCAAGACACTTGAGAGATATCTAGTGCCATCAACTGTTCATCCGAAAACTCTTCCCGAGTTTGTTCCGCTTTATGTACATGGGAAAAATCTTCCAACCTACACAAATGATCAACTATTTGATTCTCAGTACCCTTTCTATCTTTGATCTCAAGGTCGAATTCTTGAAGAAGCAATATCCACTGAATCAGACTTGGTTTAGCATCCTTCTTATTGAATAAGTACCTAATAGCTGCATGGTCAGTATAAACAATCACCTTGGTACCTACCAAATACGATCTGAACTTATCGAAGGTGAACACTAGAGCTAGCATTTCTTTCTCAGTCACTGTGTAATTAGCTTGCACAGAATCCAGGGTCTTGCTTGCATAATAGATTGAATGGAACACTTTATATTTTCTTTGTCCCAAAACTGTACCCACTTCTACATCGCTTGCATCATAGATGAGTTCAAATGGTAATTCCCAATTAGGAGTAATTAAGATGGGAGCTTCAATCAAGTTCCTCGTCAACATCTCAAAAGCTTTCAAATATATCTCATCAAATTCAAATTTCACATCCTTTCTCCCAAAGGCTGCACATAGGTCTAGCAATCTTGTAAAAATCCTTGATGAATCTCCAGTAAAAACTTGTGTGTCCAAGGAAACTTCGCACCCCTTTTATAGAGATAGGAGGGGGCAATATTTCAATGACTTCCGCCTTGGCTTTATCTACCTCTAATCCCGATTTCAACACCTTATGGACCAATACTATACCCTCTCGAACCAAGAAGTGACACTTCTCCTAGTTTAACACTAAATTGGTGTCTTCACATCTCGCAAGTACTTTATCAAGATTCCGGAGACATACCTCAAAAGACTTCCCAAAGACAGAGAAATCATCCATGAACACCTCCACAAAGTTCTCCACCATATCATGAAAAATGGCCATCATACACCTTTGAAAAATCGTCGGTGCATTGCAAAGTCCAAATGTCATGCGTTTGAAAGCATAAGTACCATAAGGAATGTGAACGTGGTCTTTTCCTGATCCTCGGGCGCAATCAAAATCTGATTATATCCGAAATACCCATCTAAGAAATAGTAGTACTCCTGCCCTGCTAGTCGGTCAAGCATCTGATCAATGAAGGGAACCGGGTAGTGATCTTTTCGTGTGGCCTCATTTAGCTTCAGATAATCCATGCAAATTCTCCATCCGATTACTGTTCTAGTGGGAATCAACTCATTTTTCTCGTTCTTTACCACTGTCATACCTCCCTTCTCGGGAACACACTACACAAGATTTACCCACTTACTATCAGAAATTGGGTACATGATTCCAACATCTAACCACTTTATTGCTTCCTTTCTCACCACTTCTTTCATCAAAGGATTCAGCCTACGTTGATGTTGTGTACTCGGTTTGTGATCCTCTTCCATATAGATTTTGTGCATACATAACGCCGGACTAATCCCATGAATATCAGCCATCTTCCATCCAATAGCTTTGTTTCTTCGCTTTAGGACTCTCAATGTCGCATCAACCTGTATTTAAGACAATTATTCAGAAAGTATTACGGGTAAAGTTTCATTAGTAACCAAATACGCATACCTTAGGTGAGCAGACAAAGATTTCAATTCCAACTTAGGGGCTTTTTCAATTGATGGTTTGGGTGGAGGCCCTAACTTACCGTTGACATCCAATTTTGACCCTCCACAATATAGATTAATCATCGAGCTTCTTCAATTTCAAACGATTTAAAATAATTAGTTTTATAAAATTTCAAAAAATATTTTGCAAGTTATTTTAAATAATTTTGTCACTTTTTATAATTTTTAGATAATATATATGTTTTACATAATTATGTTATAATTACTATATTTTATAAATATTTGAAAATCATCACAAAAGAGTTTACATTTTAGTTAAATATGTTATTAATTTACTTTAGTCTAAGTTATAGTTATAATTTAGAGTTAATTATTTTGTAATTAATTTAATTATTTTACAATCAAATTAATTATTTTATGTCGTTATGATTTATGAAAATTTGTCTTGTTGCAATTTTTAGCCAATTGCCTATCCTATCCTTAACCCTTTAAAAGACAAAAAATTGGCCCTTTTTTCACCCCCTTTTTAACAGCCCACATTCCATTCAAACAAACCCAAGCCCAACTTCCTCATTTCCATTTTTTCTCCTAATCCACCCCATTTCTCCAATACAACCAGCCCACTTTTCAATCACAAATAACCCATCAGCAGCAGCGTACAATACCAATACGGGGAGAAGGCCCAAAATAGTCCCTCATCTTTGGGTTAAGACTCAAATTCATCATTGAATTTTCACATGGAGCACTAATAGTTCCTCATGTTTGCAATATTGGTGCACTTTTGGTCCTCCCCTAAACTTTTCCCTATTTTTTAACATTAATTTTGGTCATAATTTTATGTAAGGAATGACCCATCGTCTTTTTATATATTTAGTAGAAATAATAACTCTATGTGAGAGAAGGTGAGAAGAAGAACACATTGTTCTGTTCAGTATAAATATTATTGCAGCTAAACTAAGAACATTTTAACATATGACATTGCAAGAAAAGAAAAAATTGTACTATTGTACGTGAAATCATCGTGATGAATCTCTCAACTTGACCTGCAATACGATTTCTACTAAACAAAATAAGGTGTTTTTCTTCTCATAATCTCTCACATGGAGTTATTATTTCTACTAAATATATAAAATGACGATTAAACATTCATACATAAATTATGAATAAAATCAATGTTAAAAAATAGGAAAAATTTTGAAGAAGGACCAAAAGTGCACCAATATTGCAAACATGAGGGATTATTAATGCTCCATGTGAAAACTCAAGGATGACTTTGAGTCTTAATTAAAAGATGAAGGACTATTTTGGGCCTTTTCTCACCAGTACGCAACCCAGCGATACCACCTGATTCTTCTCCACGCGAAGAATAGCAACAATACCCAGCGAGCAAATCGTGATGCAAACAGTACACTGGTACAACCAGCAGCCGTGCCGTCCTCCTTTTTGCAACAATCGCGTCCAATCCTTTTCTCCCTTTTCAGAAATCACCCATCCTTGAAAGGAGGAAAGAAATTCAAAAGATTTTGAATTTTGCTCAACGGATTTCTCTCCCCTTTTCTGCCCGTTTGCCCCAATTTCCAGTGCTAAATCTTCTATATATTCTCTCATTCAGTCATTACCATATACATGAATTAGCTATGCATTCGTCCCATTCGAGTTCGGGTTAATCTTGTGATATGTGAAATAGGACGGAAGTAGCAAGGAACATGTCCTATAATTGATGACTTCACTATATCACTGTATTATAATCATTCATGTCTTATGTATGTTATTCCAAATTCATGAAGGTGTTCTATTCATCTTATATGCCTAGATCATTCAGAAAGAGTGCTAACTTACGTTTTTGTCTAAATCTTCTTGACCTGTTGCTTCCTTTAGTACTGTATTTCCATTCGAATCCGAAAGTGATCGCCATAGATCTCTGCATCATATTTCTCGGTTTGCTTTATTCTTTTATTTTCAAAGTTAGCTTAATGGTTAAAAAAAAGTTGCTTTTGATTCATGTATATGGTATATTGAGTTTCATATAAAAAATTGGCCTTTTAATTTGGTTTGTAATTAATTTCAGTCTGAGTTATATAGAGGCAGTAGCATTTCCGCTTGAAAATTCTTGTTGTATGAAATTTTTCATGAGTAATTATAAGATATTTTGATATCCAATAGCTATAATTTCCCTCCCAAAAATTGCTAGTTCTTTTATTTAGCCCATTTTATATTGTGAAAGTTTCCAAAATGCTTGGTGTGGTTTTCATTTCTATACTGTGTTGATTCATTTATATTGCTGGTTGCATTTTATATTGCAAAGAAAGTCAGCTATATTGTCCTCCAGGGAATGTACTAATCTCTATTTATTTATCTCTCTCTCATGTGACATCAGTTCGAGTCTATTTGAACTCCATCCTTGCATATCCTTGAGTTGTCTTGAGTCAGCCTCTCTTCTATTTGGATCGTGGGAAGCTGAAATACAAGACAGGGAGGTTGAAACACAGTCACGGAAAGCTGTAAACAGTTTGTACACACTAAATATACACTTGTATACATGTTCAGTGCAACAAATACTAGGCCAAAAAATTGATACACGTTGCAGGGGTTGAAGGGGGCTGTATACACTTGATATACAATCCGATATACAAGAATATGGGTCAAAATACGATCCATATGCAAAGTATACATTTGCTGTATACACAGTTTTCAGGAGCAAAAATGGGCTGGAGAAGACCCAAATAATACAGCTGGCCCATTTTCTAGACTTATGACAGGTTGGGCTCAAAAGCCCAAAATTTGACTATATTTCCTCTTTTCTAATAATTTGTTTATTGTAGGGAAAAACTTCAGAATATGGCAAACATTCATATATATTCAAGAAAAATAGCTATGTTTTATTTTTTTTCATGTTATATGGATATAATCAGACTATAAATAGCAAAGTTAATTATATACAATTTTTTTTATATATTTAATATAATAAATATATATTAAATAGGAAAGTAATTATTGAATGCCT